AGGCTGCTTGTCTGCACATTGATAGAGAACAGCAATTTCTCTAACTAAATAGCACCATTATCTTACACATGATGATGTTTTGGAAATCATTTTGCAAAGACCATTCCAATGCCCCCAGCTGGTTTATTTTTTTATTTTTACCAAATGCTGAGTTTTCCAGCTCAGAGACCGAAGATTCGTGTTGGGTACCTCTTCCCTGAATTTCCATGACCAAAACCGAGCTGCAGACTCACCCAAAAAGGAAACCACTGCTGCTGTGGCGGTGCCCACAGATATGTTACAGGGCCGGCAGGTTCTGCAAGAGGATGCTCTAAAATACACACTTCTACTCCAAAGAGAAAGGGGAAACACAGAAATCACCAGGAGAGAAACGGAGATAAAGGGCAATCTATAAATTAAAGGCTTATTTCAACCAATTGCAATGTCTGAATCTTAGTTGGATCCTGATTCTTAAAACACAAACTGAAAAAAAAAATGTGACATGTATGAGCCAGTTGGAAATTTGAACTGACTGGATATAATGGAGGAATTATTGTTAACTTTTTAGATGTGATAATAGTATTGTGATTATAGTGTATATATAAAAGGCTCCTTATCTTAGAGATAAACACACTGAAATACAAATGAAATGGTAGGATCTCTTGGATTTGTTTCAAAATGACATGGTGCGGAGCCTGGGGTTGTCTGCAGAAGGCACAGGATTGGCCATGGATTGTGATCATGGGACTGAACAGTCATAGGCTTCATTATACTACCCTACCTACTATTGTGAATGTTTGAGATTCTCCATTGCAGAACTAAAAAAAGAAATTTTTGTGAAAGATGGTGGATAGGCTCTAATACGACAACATCCCACTAGGAAAAAAGTTACCTGCTTTTCATGATTTAAAAAAATATATATATTTATTTATTTGAGAGAGAGAGATAAGGGGCAGAGGGAGAGAGAGCAAGAGTATCTCAAGCAGATTCCGCAATGAGTGTAGAGCCGAAGCGGGGCTGGATCCCACAACCCATGAGTTCGTGACCTGAGCCAAAATCACGATTTGGATGCTTAAGCGACTGAGCCACTCAGGTGATCCTTACCTGCTTTTAAATTATCTCTCTGGGGGCAGCCCCGGTGGTGCAGCGGTTTAGCGCCGCCTGCAGCCCAGGGCATGATCCTGGAGACCCTGGATCGAGTCCCACGTCAGGCTCTCTGTATGATGCCTGCTTCTCCCTCTGCCTGTGTCTCTGCCCCTCTCTCTCTGTCTCTATGAATAAATAAATAAAATCTTTAAAAAAATTATTTCTCTGCCCTTATCCGCTCAAGGAGCAAGGCCCTTTGATTGGGCGAGTCTGTGTTTGATATTGTCTAATGCTTGATCATATCCCTGTTGAACAGGGACAGCAGGCCTTGGGCTCTGAGCCTTTGGCGGGACACAGTGTCTATTTCTAACTTGATGGCATCCCTTTGTATCATTGTATTTATTTTTTGACTACTTCTATTCTTGTATCTGATGCTGGTTTTCTATTTACAGAAGGGACAAAGATTTCTTCTTAAATAAATGTATGTAAATGCTCTGATTTAAAGACAAATAGAACAGGGGTACCTGGATGGCTCAGTCCGTTGAGTGTCCAACTCTTGATGTCAGCTCGAGTCTTGATCTCAGGATTGAGTTCAGGTCCCACACTGGACTCTGTGCTGGGGTGTGGAGCCTACTTAAAAGAAGAGGGATGCCAGGTGCAGTCGGTTAAGCGTCTGCCTTTGGCTCAGGTCGTGACCCCAGGGGTCCTGGGATCCAGCCCTGCTCAGTGGAGGGTCTGCTTCTCTCTCTATCCCTCCCCTGCTCATGCTTGCTCTCTCACCCTTGCTCACTCTCTCAAAAGATAAATAAAATCTTTAAGAAAAAAAGGACAAATAGTAGTTTGTACTCAGATATTGTAGGATTTTCTTTTTAGGGCGGGAGGAAATGATAGAAGTGTGGGAGGCACATTTTCTCATTTTATATTTCACATGGACAACCATCTAACACAAATTTGGGGTCCCTTTCATCCTGGAGGTTCTCTTTGCCTGAAGCAAGATGGCCTGCTCGGGCCCACAGTCTCCCTGAATTTCAGACAAAGCACTTGACACAGAGAAGAGGGTGCAATAGCAGGCTGTGGAAACAGATCACACAGAGAGAGCTGGCTGCCAGAATGGACCCCAACTGGGCCCCAGACACCATCCAGTCCTAGGTTCAGAGTCAATTAAAACAAAGGAGGGGTATAAGTGTAAGGACAATGTAAAGGGGAAAATCTTAAATGGGAAAATGTTTTATCCATCATTTTGTTGTTTCCCATTGGCTGTTTTCTGCGAGGGAAATTTCCTGTCTTAAGTGAGGCATTACAGGTGGTCAGCAAGCCATGTCTACCCAGATTCTTTTGTTACAGCTGTTTGTATGTTTGCTTTGGGTTTGTGTAAACTTTTTTTTAGATAAGTGTAGACCTGCATGCAGTTGTAAGAAATAATACAGAAGGGTCCCATGTATCCTTACCCACCAATGGTAATGTCTGGCAAAACTGGAAGACAATACTGCAACCAGAAAACTGACACGGTCAAGACACAGAACATTTCCATCACCACAAAGGTTCCCCTGTTGACCTTATATTCATATCACCCTTGGCAATCACTCAGCAGCTCTCCATTTCTAGAACTTTGCCACTTCGGATGCATTGGATGCAATCATATATAACCTTTGGGGATTGGTTCATCCCCCGCCCCCCGCCCCCACAACCTTGTAATTCCCTGGAGATTCATCTGAGTTGTCCATGTATCAATAGCTTGTTCTTTACTGCCAAGGAGAACCACATTGTATGGGTGGACCACGGGTCTGTTCAGTGGTCATCCATGGAACGGTCTTCTGTGCTGTTTCCAGTTTGGGGTTACTATGAATAAAGTTTCTATGAACATTTTATTTATGGGTTATCATGTGAACATAAATTTTCATCTTTCTGGGATAAAGGATGCATGTTTGTTTTTAATGAATTAATTGCCATGTTTTACAATCAGGATATTTCACCTAAAAAAAAAAATCCATGTTCCTGAATTCTCTTCAGTAATCACAATAATCTGGAAAGATTAGGTATAGCAGCTCGTGATCCTAATGGGCCAGAGTACTCCAGTCCCCTGCTGCCTGCCTAGTCCTTTTTATTTATTTACCTGCCTGGCAAGGCTCCTGGTTTACCAATTTAAGTGAGCAGAATTGGAACACAATGAGTTTTATATATATGCATGTCCACAGTTTCTCTGCTCAAGCAGAAAACACAGGTTGCCTATGGGGAAGGGTATCCAGTGATGTGATAGCAAGGGGCAATCATTGTTACTAAGAGCCCTCTGGGGCCTTTTTAGTTGAAATCATCTGACTGTATAATCTACTGAAAAATGAGTAAAATGTGCAAACAAGAACACTAAAATTTCCTTACAGATACCCCCCTCTGGCTCTGCTTTTCCCATACCGACTCTTCTGTTTCTTCAGAGAAGAGAATCCATTGGAATTTCCCTTCCCAGAGACCTGGTTTTACACAAGGAAAAACCCCTAGCTCTGGGATCTAGTTTTCCCTAATGCACACATTCCCTGTCCTAGACCCCAAAACACACCTCATCACCATCCAAAAGCCCAATGACCCCTCAGGGGCGGGCACAGACACATCGTGGGCCTCTCTGAGGCCCAGTCAGGCGTCCATGTCCAGCCCAGAGGCCACCTCCTCCAAGAAGCCTTCCCAGCCTGACAGAAATTCAGTGTTTCCTTCCTTGCCTGGCAGTAGTATTGTGTGCCTTTCTGGTTACAATTCAGTGCATACTTCCTGAACCTTTTACACGAGCTGGGCTGGTGCACCCTCGCCCCACCCCTTTCCTGACCTCTCACTAGACTGCCCTCCCCCATCCCCGTCCCCCAACCTCCTGCAATAGATTAAAATTTTAGAGGCCCGGCGAACGTTGTGCCCTCTGAACCTCCCGCTCCTGCTAGTCACGGCAAAGACACCTACAAACCATAGAACACAAAATGTAGACTGAATTTAAGAGCGAGGACTTCTGCGTGCAGATGGATTCAGTGATGCTGAGCTTTCTTTTTGTTTTGGAGGGGGGTGGGGGAGAGTGTGCTCTGGCGCGGCTGGCGCCCTAAATCCACCCTTTGGGTGACCTCCCTAAGACTTAAAGGAGACAGGAGATGTAGCACAGAAAACAAGGGCTTTGGGATCTGAGAGTCCTAGCGGTGCCCCCGTTGGGTGGTCTTTGGGCCGCTCAACCTGTCTCCTCCTGGTGAAATGGGGATCATAACCTCCCTCTGGCAGGGCTGTCGGGGGTTAAGGAGGGAGGAAGCACCCAGCGGGGCCCTCTGCCTCAGCAGGTCGCTGCCGCTTGCGGAGCCCGGTCCCGCTTCTAGAAAGTACCAGCGGAACGCGGTGCACTCGGCGCTCCGCATTCCCGGCGTCCAGCGTGTCTGTCCGTCTCTCCGACGAGCTCCGGGTCACGGACGCTCCGCGGCCTCGTTTGCGCCCCCCCCCCCCCCCCCCCCGCCAGGCTCACTCGCCCAGGGAATGAGCGCACGGGCGGCTGGAAGGCGCCGCGCCGGGTACAGCCGGAGCCTGAACCCACGCGGGGCGAGCGTGGGGACCAGAAGCCCGCGCAGGGGGCCCGCGCCGAGGGGGGCCCGCGCCGAGGGGGGCCCGCAGGCGCGCGTGCAGCTCGACCCCGCGTGGGCGCGCCCGGCCCCGCTCCCGCCGCCCGCGGCTGGGGCTCAGGCCGGGTCCCCCGTGCCCGGGGCGCGCCCCACCTCCTACGCGCCCCTCCCCCCCCCGCCCCGGCCCGTCCCGCACCGCGTGGCCCAGGGCGCGCGCGCTCCAGACGCTCCCTCCGCCCCGCGCGGTCGAGGGGGCGCGGGCCTGGGCCGGGGGTGGGGTCGCCGCGGGCTCGGCCCCCTCAGTTCCCGCGCTCGGGCCGCGCCGGGGCCCAGGAAGCGTCCCTCGGCCGCGGCCGTCGCTCCGCCTCCTCCCTCGCGCGCTTATCACCTGCCGTCCCGGCGCGCGGGCGGGCGCGAGGGCGCGAGGGGGGGCGCGGGCGGCCGGGCGCCGGGTCGCGGGAGGTGACAAGCGCGCGAGGATGCGGCTGCTGCTCGCGCTCCCGGTGCTGCTGGCGCTGGGCCCCGCCGCCGCGGCGGCCAAGCTCAACATCCCCAAAGTGCTGCTGCCCTTCACGCGGGCCACGCGCGTGAACTTCACGCTGGAGGCCTCGGAGGGCTGCTACCGCTGGTGAGGCGCGCGGCCCGCGGCCGAGGAGGGCCCGGGCCGGGGAGGCCGGCGGGGGCGCGGCAGGTGCGCCGGCGCGGGGGGGGGGGGGCGGCCGCGAGTCGCGGGCCGGTGCGGCGAGGCCTGCGGGCGGGCGCGCGGCTTCCAGGCCGGGCGGGCCGCGGGGCGGGGAGCGCGGAGGCCGCGGGCGGGCGGGCGGGCGGGCGGGGCGGCGCAGCAGGTGCGGGGCGCGCTCCCCGGGCTCCGGCGGCCGAGCGGCTGGCGGCGCGGGCTCGGCGGCGTGCGCGCTGGGGGCGGTCCCTGCGCATGGCGCCGCGGGGCCTGCGGGCCGCCGGGGCCGGGGCCGGGGCCGGGGCCGGGGCCGCGGGGGGGAGCGGGGGCCGGGGCCGGGGCCGGGGCCGCGGGGGGTGGGGGGAGCGGGGCCTGGCCCCCAGCGGTGTGTGCCGGTGTGTGCGGGCGAGGAGGGGCCCGGGTCGGCCTCACTTGCCGCGGAGCGCCCCGGGAAGGGGGTGCGCAGGGCTTGCCCCGGGGCCGGGGGCCCACGTGGCCTGACTTCCCCTGGTCGCCCGGGCCCCCGGCGGGCCGCGCTCAGGGCCCTGCAGAGCCGAGTCTGGAGACGCAGGTTTCTTGATCTTGTCTAGTGGTGGGGGGAGCCTCCTCTCCGGCGCCAGACTGCTGTGGGAATTGGGTTTGTGTGGGAAGAATTACACCCGCTCGGCCTCACTGGGAGGAACATGGAGCCTGTGATGAAAGGACTCGCGCGGGAAACCCTGGGGACCCATTTTACAGATGAGAAGTGAAAGGCAAGGAATGGTTGGTGATTCACCCCAGGTTGTCCAGGGTCAGGTTAGGCCTTTATGCTCAAAACCCAGCCTTTTTTTCCCAACTCCCCTCCTGGCTTCCTGGGGGAACTCAGGAATCCTGCATTGGGGTGGGGGATGGGATATTGGAAACCCCAGAAAGTAATGAAACTAGAGGCCTCTGTTCCCCGTTCCCTCCTCCCCCGAGGCAGAGAGACCTGGCTAGCTCCTGGCTGGGCAGGGTGATGTGGTCCTGACCTTCCCTCCAGCACCTTGAGGAGAAGGCAGCTTCTCCTCCTGCAGGGTGGAGACGGGAGATCAAAGGCAGCTCTCTGGCTGCTGGCCTGTAGGCTACACTTTTTGCCTCTCCCTTTCTTCACCTGTCTTTTGCCAAGGTCAGTGTGGAGGCTTACCAAGGCAGAGCTCTGTTACAGAACCAGGTGTGTGTGTGTGTGTGTGTGTGTGTGTGTGTGTGTGTGTGTGTGTGTTTTAGTCTGTTTGTTTGTCAGTCTGTGCAAATATGCAAGTATGGTCCTCAGAGCCCAGAGGAGCATTCTTCTTCAAGTGTACTACAGCAGCTATTTATTTTCTGAAACTTGGCCTCCTGAAATAAGGCCATGCTGTGTCAGCCAATTGCATTTTGGGTTTAGTGCCTGATGCACCTGGAGGGTCTTGTTCCTGCCTTGGTATCAGAGGCTGACCTTCAGCATAAAGTCTTCTATATCCCTGACTAGGGCATTGTCTTTTTTTTTTTTTTTTTAAGATTTTATTTATTCATTCATGAGATACATAGAGAGACAGAGACACAAGCAGAGGGAGAAGCAGGCTCCCTGCGAGGAGCCGGATGCAGGGGAGCCCAATGCAGGACTCCATCCCAGGACCCTGGGATCACACCCAGAGCTGAAGGCAGAGGCTCAACCGCTGAGCCACCCAGGTGCCCTCGGGCGTTGTCTGGTGTGGGAAGATGAGCCATTAGTCCCTCCTTTCAGGAGATGCAAACCTGCTCTCTGGTTGAAGGTGTCTTTTCTTCTTGACATATGGGCAAGAAAAGAGGAAGCCAGTTTTTGAAAACAGCTGGCTTCAAATGAATTTGTACGCTACTTCCTTTGAGATTCTATAGCTGTGTTTTTTTTTTTTTCTGAAGTGACCTTTTTTTTTTTTTTTTCCTTTCCCTAAGTACATTTTCTTTTCTGAGCGAGGCTGGTGGTTTTTAATTTACTTGAATAGCTTCTTAGGAAGAAGGGAAGGGAGGGGGGAGAAGAAAAAAAAATGATTCCTAATCTCTTATACATCAGAGAAGTGCTAAGTACCTTATAGCTTGTTTGGCATCTGATCCATAATTTTTATTGCAAATGTGTGACTACCTCACTTAAGTGTCTCCTCAGAGGTGTTTTGTGGTTGTGATTTTCCCCTTAACTTCATAGGAAAACCTTCCATCAATCAAGCATTGAAAATATTTATTTTTAGTAGTGCTGTTCCTACTTTGGTCCTCTGTTGCTGTAGTTTTTGAAGACTCCTTTGGAGATTTTAAGAGTTGGCATGCAGACAAGCTATTTATCTGCAGTTATCTAAACCTGGGAGGAAAATAACCTCTTCATCCAAGAAGTTCATTGTTAAATCTGACATGAAGATTAAAAAAAATGAAAAATAAAAACTCTCCTGGACATTGGGGGAATTCTTACTCAATCCTTTGAATTTGGTGCCAGGCTCCAAGCTTACAGAAATTACTGCATGCCTCAGCCAGTGGGTGTAAGTTCACTTTTCCTGTTTCTTGATTTTATAGCATCAAATCATTAGACAGTTTTTGGGCCATAGGAGTCATAGAGATCATGTAGTATAAATTGCCCATGTTGTACTCTGAGCCTCAGAAGGAAGGGCTGTGTGTGATGTCACATGAATACAGATGGACCCTGATTAACAATAGTTCCACTTAGATTGTTCAACTTTATAATGAAGGTGCAAGAATGATACTCATTCAGTAGAAACTGTACTTGGAATTTCAAATTTGGATCTTTTCCCAGGCTAGTGACATGCAATACGACACTCTCCCATGGTGCTGGGCAGTGGCGGCAGCCTCAGCTCCAGTTCAGCCACATGATCACAGAGTCAACAACCGATACCCTTACAACCATTCTGTACTCATACAACATTCTGTTTTTCACTTTCAATATAGTATTCAGTAAGTTACATGATATACTCAGGACTTTATCATCAAACAGACCTGTGTTAGAGGATTTTGCCCAACTGCAGGCTAACGTAAGTGTTCCCAGCATGATTAGAGTAGGCCAGGCTACACTATGATCTTTGGTGTGTTTGGTGTATCATATGAGCTTTCGACTTGCGATATTTTTAACTCAGGGTAGGTTTATTGGGGCCTAACAGTGTCATAAGTGGAGGAAGGTCTGTGGTGATAGTTTCTGAGTCAAGTGGGAGCTCACAGGGGTGCCCCCATTCCCACCCCACTCAGGGACTTGTGGCCTCTGGTGTGTTTGCTAGACACTGATTGAATCCTTCTAGTTGCATTGCTGGTTGTGAGACAAGTTTCTTATTCTTCTTTTGGCTATTTCGTGTTACTGAAAATGTTCTATGAAATATCTTTCATTAGGCCTTTTTTTTTTTTTTAAGATTTTATTTTTAAGTAATCTCTACACCCAACATGGTGCTTGAACTCACGACCCTGAGATCAAGAGTTGCATGCTCCACCAACTGACCCTAGCTTCTCCAACTCATATTAAGACTCAAGTATTCGGGATCCCTGGGTGGTGCAGCGGTTTGGCGCCTGCCTTTGGCCCAGGGCGCGATCCTGGAGACCCGGGATCGAATCCCACATCGGGCTCCCGGTGCATGGAGCCTGCTTCTCCCTCTGCCTATGTCTCTGCCTCTCTCTCTCTCTCTCTCTCTGTGACTATCATAAATAAATAAAAATTAAAAAAAAAAAGAAAAAAAAAGACTCAAGTATTCTTCTATGGTGTTTCATTGTCTTCCTAAGCTTTGAGTGTCTGAGCACCATTCTGCTTGGTTGCTCTTCCACCATCTGCTTATGCTTTTCCCTGTGATCAAAGTCCCATGGTGTTCTGGTTTCCCCAGTAGGCTGCCCTGTCTTGGAGAAAGTGAGTATCTTGGGTTGGTTTCCCAGTACATCCAGAAACGAGGATTTGGTTGTATGTAGTTTATTTGAGAGTGTGCTCTCCTGGGAGGCAGGATAGGAAAGAGGAAGGAGATGAGCAAGGATGTGGTCCCAGAGAAAGTCTGTATGGCCCTTGTGACCCTGTGGAGTTGAATTCCACGGCGCGGGGTAGAGCAAGCTTTCGAGCTTTTCTTTCACCCGTGATCAGCTGGCCATTGGCTGCTGCAGGGGGAAGGGGGTGTTGTGCAACCTCCCCGGCCTCTGGGTGAGGCAGCCCTCTTGGTCAAGGGTGTTTGACTGGATAAGGTTGTGTGTGTACACCGTGAGCTGCATGCAGCGCTGCCCTGGCTGAGGGGAGTTGGATCGACATCCAGGCAGGGCATCCTGCAGCCCCCACTAAACTGCTGTGCTCAGAATTCTCCCCCTTTCCTGCTCCCGAAAGTCTCCCCGAGGCACCCTGGAGCTGCCTGGTGTGTCTGCCAGGCGTGGTCCTGAACCACGGTGCACTTCTCAGCCACAGGCATAAGCCTTCTTGGAGGAGCAAATGGGACCCCCCTCCTGCTGCATGGGTCCCCACTCGGTGGAACTTGTCATGGTGGGTGTTGTGTCCCACACACCTCAGATCATCCTTGGGAAGCAGTGGGCATGGAAAAGCCAACAGCCCCTCTGTTGACCTGCAGCTGTGCGAGGTCCAAGGCCAGTGGCACCTCTCAGGGCCTCTGGGCCTGCCCCCAATGGAAGGAAGTGACCCAGTCCCCTTGTAGCCTGGGGAAAGTGGGAGAGAAAGGGGGCCTGCCATTTCCTTGGGCTCTTCCGGAAACCCCTCTGCACACTGAGCCAAGTTGGAAAGTCATTCCACATTCCACCCAGCTGCCTTCTGCTGAGCCCACCGACTCAACCTGCAGGACGGGGGTGTTTGCATGCTGGAAGCTGGATTGGTGAGGAGGCAGTAGGACCCAGGGGAAATTGGAGAGTCAGGCACTAAAATTAAAATAAAGCATTTATAGTGTGGAGGCTTAACCTGAAAAGTGGGTTTAATTCAGCCAGCGGCCCACCAGTGCTCACTGTGAAGAACC